CGAAATGGAAGCGGTGGTAACCTGTTGGTACAACGTCCGGAGAGTCAAGTAAATGGCATAGTGTCTCCAAGATAAGTTGCCGTATGGTGTCCATGGCTACCCGCACCACATGATGCCTGGCATTGTCATGTAGGAACAGTACGTCCATACATTTAATCAATGCTAGTTCCTTTTTCTTCAGTGTCTGTTGCGCACGTTTCCACTTCCCACAACTGTTAGGATATTTTTGGTTATCTTATATAAATGTTTGAATACCGGACAATCCCCAGAGGTACGTTGAAACTCCGAGAGTCCATATTTATTTAATCTAGGATTAAAGCGATGGTTAGTGAATTTAGTGGCCTAGTAATTGTAAGTTCAATCACTGAACTGGTTAGTACAGACTGAATCTCTATGGACATAGGAGTAGCAATTATAAAACAAATATCCCTAGAACAATCTGCCCTGTAGATTCAATAAAGTCATTCCCTGAAGGCTAACATGAGCGATGAAAACAGAAGAAGCCCGGAGTGTACAACGGCCGAAGTATTGTGATGATAGCAATAAAGATGTCGACATTATCCCGAATGTAAATAAAGTAAATACTTCCTAAGAGTAATTTTTAGCAGTGAAAGTAAGGTAATCAATCCACTCTGTGTAAGGCAGTACAGCCACTAAGACATAAGGCGTTACTGAGTGCAAAAGAATAAAAAGAAAGAAGAAAGATTATTAAAGATGGAGAATAATAGATGAAGAGGAATCGATGAAGACTGAAGATGACGATTGACATTGCATTTACATTTTGGGAGATAAAAATTGGCTGGAAATCACGGAACCTGACGAGAGTTCTACAAACGAGAAGTGCGAGAGAAGAAACTGTTAGCATAGAACTTACGGTTATATCTAGCCAATTCAACTGTAAAATGATGAGACCTAACCGCCAATCAAGTATTGCGTTTTAATTCATGGCACCTAGGTCCAATCGTGGGAAGTTTATCCGAGCATTTACCATGAAAGTATTTTTAGAAAAATCACAGGGAAGCTGCATTACGACGATAGAAAAGTGATTGAAGCTGTGATGCCAGGTCAAGACCAATAATATTACTGATTCTTCTTTGGATTTTAACAAGAATCTCTAAATATATAACAGGAGCACCGGACCATATGTAGCAGCAATATTCAAAGCATAGGCGAATGATAGACTGATAAATATTTAAGATTTGGATAAATGTGACGGGCTATATGACGGTTCCGTATAGGATACAGGTTCGATTCCTGTCGGAGGAGGCATATTTTCTATGAAAATTTCTCAGACATTCAGGCCGGTAAATGTTGTTAATACTGTTTATTATAAACAAAGCACTTACTTAAATATTTGTATCTATAAATAGAACGTATAAACATAAAATGTCTTAAAATAATTGTCGGACTTTGTCCATTTCATAATGTGTGACGTCATTAGATACGCCATGAGCAGATATGAATTGACGTGAGAGATTCATGGATGATTGAAGTTTAAAAGCAGTAAATTCGACCTTGTTAATCGAATGATCCTCTGTGGCCGAATCGGTTAAAAGGCACGTCAGGTTATATGACGGTTTCGTATAGAATACAGATTCGAATCCTGTCGGAGAACGAATATTTTCTATGAAAAATTTCTCGGACATTCTGGCCGGTAAATGTTGTTAATACTGTTTATTATAAAAACAGAGCATTTACTTAAAGATTTGTATCTATAAAAAGAACATAAAAAATATCTTAAAATATGGGGATTAGTTAGGACTTTCATGGAGACATTGTGGTATTATGGTAGATATAGTAAGAATAGTAAGCAAGAAAGCGTTGTTTTGGTGTTAGGAATATTGTAGTATGTTTGTGTCTAGCTAAGTTAAACGTTAAGACAGAAGAAGACCGTCTGTTTCCCCTTTCCACCTTTGGCTTTGTGACGCATTTTGTATAAATACCAATAAATATTTAGAGGGATCACACATTCGGTCCTTGATAGAAATTGTCGTAAATTATGATTTCGGATAGGTAGAATATTATTCTTGTATGTTATTTCAAGCAGTAAAATTATTGTTCTCCCTGAATTTGATGATGGGACAAGATAAGAGAATTATACAAACATTTCCAATAAGTTCTCGAGATTTTTCACAAAACCCAAAGAAAGATCTATAATGTAATCAACCCTGACCAGACATCTCGACTTGTGTCACATTCTCACCGACGTGACGTGACTTCCCTCTGTCTTTTCTACAAATATTTTCATGGCTACTGCAATGACAAACTTTTTTCCTGGTGCCACATCTGCATGAATTTAAGCGTACTACTCGATTGGAAGTTTCGCCATTTAATTGTTGAAATAGTTAAAAGCAACCGCCACTTCTACTCCAGCAAATTTTCATTTCTCGCAATTCCCGCCTATTTCCTTGCTTTCCGGGGGTCTCCCTGGTTGGGGGTTGTGACCCCACAAAAAAGAACACAGGGGATTCACTTTGATCGAAATTTGAACAATTTAAATTTGATCAACTTAATGACTCCTATCCAAAATATCGAAGGAGAAAGAAGATGGAGTTCACATTGCCAATATCATTTTGATCAAAGAGTAACGCCCGTGGGTCTCCACTTTTCAACCCCCCACACTGAATTTTTTCCTTTTCATTTAAATTAAATTTACTCTTATCCAAAATATAGGAGAAGAAAACCAGAAGATGGAGGTCATATCGGCAAGATCATTGAGTAATATTGAAATGTATCATTTTCTCCACAAATTATAACAATGATTTAAATTTAATTATCATTTTCTTACAAAAAATGTGTGATATGCAGCAAAGAGCGGTTAAGTCGGCTCGTGGAAAATAAAATGCAAGCAAAGATGATATTTGGGAAGCAATAAAAACTGCCTTAAATAATGTATACATGCCAAAAAAAAAACGATATATAATTGTTCTAGAAATATCATCTGCCTCTTCTTGATGTTAAATAGACGTTTCCTTTTTCTTTACATTTTCCCTGAAACCTTTATGTTGCTCATATATTCGGTCCCTGCCATCCTCAGCATCCTTCAGTAGAACCACATTTCTCTTGCTTCAAATCTTTTCTTCATCTGTGTGGCGATTGTCTAGCATTCACCGCCACATAGGGGGAGAGATATCGCGTAACATTTCGGTTCTCTTTTCTTTATTTCTAAAGAAGTTTTTCTCTTTCTTAATACTGTGCTTAGCTTTTGGAAGGCATATTGAAACACATCCTTTTTCTCCAGAAATTATAACAATGATTTAAAGCCAGTCATCATTTTCGTAGACAAAATGTGTGATATGAAACAAGGCGAGTTTAATTCGGCTAGTGACAAATGAAATACAAGCAAAGGTGACATTTCGTAAGCAACAAAAACTGCCGTAAGTAATGTATAGATGCAAAAATAAACTATATATATTTTTTTTGATATCTAGGACAATTTTAGGAGAAAAAAGAAATTATGACAAATGTGGCAAAAGTTTTCGTTTGATGCATTTTGTCCTTGAGGATTTTCTTCGCACTTAAGTCACCATTATATTGATACGACTCCACCTGTGTCCATATGAGAGGTGACACTGAAAATTTTAATATTTGATTTTTTTTTTAGATATCTGTTTTGGCTATAGAATCTAACAAGTTTGATTTAGTTCTATTTTCTCTCTGTTCATTTTCTATCCATTTCGTTATTAAATATCCCATATTTTGATAAAAGAAAATCTGCCAAGAAATGTTTTGAAATACGTACGAAGGAAATGGGGACTGTAGATTTTAATTTTTTTTTTATTTAATATATGATTTAGGTTTATAATCTAATCGATTTCAGTTACATTCATTTTCTTTCTGTTTATGTTTCCATCGCTTTTGTTATTAAATATCTCACATTGTGCTAACAGAAGATCTGCAAAGAACAGTAAAACGTTGTGAGGAGCTGGGCGCAAATTTACTGTGGATGAACTAAAGATTATAGCAATTTCTAAACATTCAGTAAACCGTTTTCTGTTTTAAAATATATCCAAATGAAATCGGTTGGATTATATACCCAAAATAACTATTTAAAAAAAAATTAATTTTAAATTCCCAGTCTCTGGTTTGTGTGCACGTGTAGTCATATCAACTTAAACATAAATTTAATCTGATGAAGTCATAAACAAAGAAACGTGTCACAAAAAAAAATTTTCCACTTTGTCAAACTTCTTTTCCCTAAAATTTTTTATTATATATATATATATATATATATATATATATATATATATATTGTTAAATATATAGATAATCCAACTGAGTAATTATAATATATTATTATATATTATATATAATATAATCCAATTGAGTAATTATCTACCGATTTCATTTACATTTTTTTTTCTTTTTCGTTTTTTCTCCTCCTTTTTGTTATTAAATATCCCACATTTTTAATAGATCTGCCAAGAATGGTGGAACGTTGTAAGAACCAGATTGTAAATTTTCTGTTTATGCTCTATTATAGAAATGTTAAAATCTAAGTAAAGTTATAGAATGGCAAAGAATATATATTCTTCTTTAATTGCCGTATTCTGTCAAGACCTAGGCAAACATAGCTCTCTACATTTTCCGGTCCACTGTAACTCTTTTGTGTTTTTCTTATTTCTAAATCTCGTTCCGCCATCCATTTATATAAAGATCGTTAAGTAGGCTATGCGTTGTTTTCCTCTGTCCCCATTGCATTAAACATGTCCTGTTAGTATCAGATTCTCCAAGATCTCTTTCCTCACTATGTGCCCTAGAAATAACATCTGTCTCTTCCTGATGTTAAGTAAACATTTCATTTTTTTTTCCATTTTCCCTGAAATCCTTTTTTGTTTCACACATATTCGGTCCCTGCTATCCTCAGCATCCTTCAGTAGAACTACATTTCTGTTGCTTTAAATCTCTTCTTCATATGTGTGGAGATTGTCTAGCATTTACTGCCATACAGGGGGAGAGATATCGTGTAACATTTCGGTTCTCCTTTCTTTGTTTCTAAAGAAATTCTCTGTTTCTTAATACTGTGCTTAGCTTTTGGAAGCCATATTTGGCTGTCCTAATAGGCCTTCGGATTTCAATGCCGCCTTTCCATCCACTTCCCAGATATTTACATTTTTGTGTTTGCCTGATTTGGTATCTCCAATTTGTAATTTTCATTTTGTAACCATCCTTTTGCTAACATCCACGCGTTCAGATATTTATTCTTCCATTTTTGTTTTAATTATTTCAGTGATCCCGATAAACTTCAAGGAATTTTGAAATGAACCCCTTATTTAATATACTTTAGGGTATAGTTCTTTTTCCTCAGCGAATGTCTACTCGGGTATTAAGTTCTTACTTTTCAGTTATTTTCCTTCCCTTTTAGACTGCCCACTCTTGGTATTGGAATATGAAATGGCAATTAACGTTTGCAAATTCACGAACCAAGATTTTAATCCACAAGGTCCTGATGAAGGTCGAAGGGCACAACTGCTGAAACACTATTTATATTATTCGGACTCATCTTTGTACGCGGATCGTTGTAATAAATATGGCAACAAATATGAGGACAATAGTCCGAATAATGTAAATAGTTGGAATGTCGAACTGGGGTAGATTGTTCTAGTTCTACGCGCCATGTCTAATGGGTATCAGTTATCGCCTGTTAATTCGCCTGTTAATTCGCAGGTATTGAACTCACATTTGGGTCATGTCACTGGATCTAACTAACGCCTTTATCCACTGTGCCATGCGTCCCTGTGTATGAATTTCTGAGTATTATAAACCTAAACGTCTTCAGCAACCGTTTTTTACCAGTGCTTATATTGCAATTTTTGCTGTTATCATTGCATGTTTTTTATCAGAGCTCATATTGCGGCACAACTGCGTGAAACAAGCGCTACACACCCGTGGTATACCACACAGTGGCAGATTAGTAGCTTGCGTGTAGGGATGTGCCAAGATTTTACCCAAGTGTTGATTCACTCACTAACGTGTTCTGCTAACGACAGAGCATGAAAACATGTCCCTGCATTAGTGTTTTTTTTTATCTTAACAACTACGAGAGCAGGATGCTTCGGTTTGAAGGGTTTAATCCTTACTGAACTTGAAACCCCGATGCTAAGAAGCCAACTCGTTTAGCTGAGGCTATTTCTCGTACCGAAGAACATTAAGTTACGCCGACCTTTACTTGCTAGAGAAACTAGTGTGAATAATGTAATGACATAATTTGTCTATATTCACGTCTCAAAAAACCCTAATGATTGTCTAAAAAAGAAACGAATATAAAAAGAAAAAACAAAAAAAAGAGGAAAATAAAAGAAGAAAAATAGTCGCTTCCTCGTTTTTGGCGGCTTTTATAAAAATCTACATTGCCAAATCCTGCAGCCATATTCGGACTAATCGACAAGAAATGTTTAACTTAGAAGTGGAACAGATTGTCGGTTAGGCGTCAATCGTTGGCTTCTTGCATACACCTGGAGGCTTTCAATTGAAGAATAGAATTGTTGTAAATTTCAGCAAAACAGAGAGGGGGAAATAACAGAATGGCAAAGGGAAAAACTGAAATAATCCTATCAACAATGTCCTTAAAAGACACCAAAGGCGGCTGTTAAGCTCAATCAAAATCCACTGTTTAGAAAATAAAACATCTGAAAATAAACAATAAAAAGTAGGGACTCCTCTGTAATTATCCAAACTCCAAATATATTTCAAATTTAAAGTTACCTTTGCATGTTTTCTTACCAATCCTAAGAATCGAGTGTTAATTAATTTTATATTGACGATCGCTGTTTGCAGATATTAAATAAAAAAAACTCTACAGAGACATGATCGATTGGATTCTCAAGAAATGATGAACAATAAAAATAACTGAATCTCCTTTTTAAGGTTTAATTATCCAAACTCCAACTGTTTAAAATTTAAGGTTACCTTTGCATGTACTTTTACGTATCGCCAATCAGCAGGAACCGACTATAAATGATTTTGCATATATATGCTTAAAATTTAGAAAAGCTGTTTTTTTTTGTTTTGTTTTGTTTTGTTTTTTTCATAATAAATTGCACAAGAATGCATCAGGGGAAGAGAGAAAAAAAAAGTTTAATATTTTTTGCATGGAATAATTACCGCATTTTCCGGCTTACAAGACGCATTTCTTTCGTAAAAAATACCCTGAAGGTAACGTGTGCCTCTAGAGGCACACGTTACCTTCAGGGTATTTTTTACGAAAGAAATGCGTCTTGTAAGCCGGAAAAGGTTTAGAATCTAGGCTCAAGTATGCTTGGACGGTCACCTCATTGGCTTGACTAATAGGGACGTGGACTTGTATGTTGAGTCATTACACTATAATGTTAACTGTTTATCTAATTCAGCCATTTATATGATGTAACCTCAGTACTTAACTGTTACAAGTATTTCCGAGACAATAAACCTTCCTCGAGCCGAGCCACAAGCTTAAACGTACTGTATTTACTAGCAGCGGTGGGAGCCTTTCTGCTCTTGATTAGTATGTCATTGACATACAAATAGTACGAATGATTAACATAAACAAGACGCGACGCAAATATGTCAGGCGTGTATGGTGAATGTGTTGCTGTATGAGAATTACTTTTTTTAAAGAAATTTCTTTCCAATATTAGGGTGCATCTTCCAAGCCGCGGAAAATACAGTATATGCGTGTGATATCAATGGATGATATGCGGATAGCGTAGTGGCTATCGTGACAGAAGCTGGAATCGGTCAAGAAATTCTGACTGGGGCCACTGGCTACGCTATTGCACAAATATATATTGCGCTATAAGATACATAGTAGGAAAACTGGACTCGTTCGCCTTGGTTGGTAACTAGTCTAATAGAAGGACAACTCGGAATTCAAAATTCCAAACCGGTTGTATGTGGGACTAATAATCCCACACTCGTAAAACCTACTAACAAACGAATATTTTTAAGAAAATAAACACCAAACAAGTTGATCAAAGAGAAAGTCTTGAAGATAATAGGAAAAACAAGGAAACATACGGACAATGAGAAAGATTTTATAAAACACATAATGTAAAAAGAAGGCATGGAGAATTTAGCACACATAGGACAAACTGAAATCAAGAGAAGTCGGGGTAAACAGCGAGTAGAGTACCTACCGATTAACTAATGTAGGAAACTATGGAGAGCCGTGTTAATATGCCATAGCAAAGAATTTTACATTGAAAATTAATAAGAAAGGGATTTTCAGAAGTAAGGAATTAATAAAATAGTCGACAACAGATTGGGGCTAAAATTGGTTTTGCAGCCAGAATTTAATATCACTCCAGATAACCAGGTGCCGGGTTGACCGGGGCTGAGTCCAGAAAGAAGAGGGTCTCTCATATATGGCAGAAAAGAACTTAAGGTCCATGCTCCGGACTAAATACAAACTTAGAGAGGATGCTGACAATGTTGAAATAAATTTAAGGTTAAACTAGTGTTTCCAGGGTTTTTATGTAACTTACACAACGTTATGTATTTAATATTAAATCTCTATTTTGTACTATATGTATGTATGTCTAAAAAATACAGCTTAGACGATACATTATAAGCCAACTAATTTGGGACCATATTTGTACCGTGAACATCTGCCGAGTGCAGTGAGAAATTTCACTAAACTTATACAAGAAACTCTTTAGGTAGAGCCGTTTTTCTGCTTATACGGCATTTTTAATAGGAATTTCAGTAATTGTTTTGATAGTTATTCTTATATCAATTCGCGTATATAAACAAGCACTTGCATATTATATTAAAACTGTTATGTGTAAAAAATAATAATTATTCATAATAGTTATAACATCTATCTATCTATGTATCTATCTATCTATCTATCTATTTATCTATCTATCTATCTATCTATCGTCCTAGTCATTATCTATCTATCTATCTATCTATCTATCTATCTATCTATCTGTCTGTCTGTCTGTCTGTCTTTTATTATCTATCTATTTATTTTTATATTTTTCTTATTAATTTTTCTGATATATTGTTTATTTTAATATATCTTTAATTCGGAATTATCTCTCTTTCATATAAATGGATTTATCTCTATATTTAAAATAATGTTGTTTTTGTTTATAGATTTAAGAAGGTTTTCTTTAAATCTAAACTACATTCTGATTGCTACAGTTTAATATAAATACATCATTTCTTCTCTCTTTTTTTTCCCCTCTTTTTTCTCACCTTTTCTCCTCTGACCATCCCTCATATCCAGACTTACACTACTTCCTGGTTTTTATTTGCTCCTTTTTTTTCTTTTCCTTCTTTCTTTCCTTTTTGTGTCTGGCCATATTTATTTCAATAATTTATCATCATTTGACTGGTTTGTAAAATCCTTGTAACTTTTATTTCAATTTACAAGGTGAAAATGATCATTAACCTAATGTAACCTTAATTCCTATTCTATAAAATATATTGTTCTCTTTTATTAAAACATTGAGCTCTATGTGTGAATCAGCTTTAATATTTAATATTTTATATTGTATTAATAGGATTCACTTGGATTATATACCAGCAGATTATTACCTGTATATACATACATATATATATATATATATATATATATATATATATGTATTAATAATATTTATTATTTATTTATTTTTTATTCATTTATTTATTTTAATTATTATTTTAATCATTTCATTTATTTATTATCTTTAATTATGTATATTTATTGTATATATATATTTATATATATATATATATATATATATATATATATATATATATATATATATATATATATATATATATTAAAAGTCATTTTCATATTATTAGAAGAAAGCATCAGGAAATTCCGAATGAAATAACAATACCGAAATGTTATCGTTTGGTGTGGTGAACTGGGAATATGGCTCCAGGAAAATAAGTTCATATTAGAATTCACTGATGTAGAGATAATCACAAGAGATCGTTATTAAAAAAAAAATGCATAAACGTTCATTTTGAAGACAACGTTTTCTTTTTTAAATCGGGGAAATATAGTACCTTTTTTTTTCCTCGTATTTGTTCACCTATTCCATCAGTGCTCACTTATTCTTTTGTTTTTCTTTTTGTTCTCCCCCCCTTTTTTTTAACTCTCCCTACGCTCCTTCCATGACGATTTTTAATCCGCACAGTCCATCATTCATTTCACATCTGTTTACGCATCATTCTGATGGATTCTATTATCATTTCTCTCTTTCGTCCTCTCTTTCTTATAAAGGAAGAGGATGCAGCACAAACAAAGAAGGCTAGAGAGTAACAGTAAGAGTGTATCAATAGAAATGGTGCAAAATGGGAAGTGGTAAAAGAATATGGAAGAAGAAAGGAAGGATAGAGAAGAGAGAGAGAGAGAGTAGTGTTAAAAGTGTATGGAAGAAGAGAGAGACGATTGAGAGAGTAATCTGAAGAGAGTAGGAGAGGGAGAGGTGTGTTTAAAGAGTATGGGAGAAGAAAGGGACGATAGAGAAAGGAGTAATAAGAATAGCTGAAAAAAGGAATAGAGAGAGAGAAGTGCTATAAGTGTAAAGATGACGAAAGGAAGGATAGAGGTAGAGGACTATTGAAAGAGTATGTAAGAAGAAATGAAGGTTAAGAAGAGACTAATTAGAGTAGCAAAAGTAAGAAAGGATAAAAGAGGGAGATGTGTTAAACGAATGTGGAAGAAGAAAGAGATGATAGAGAAGAAAGTAATAAGAGTAACAAAAGAAAGGAATGATAAAGAGAGGCGGTTTTAAAAAGTATGGAAGAAGAAAGAACGTTGGAGAAGTGAATAATCAGAAGAAAGTAAGGATAGAGAGAGGAGTGTTGAAAGAGTATGGAGAAAGGAACTATAGAGAGGAATGGGAAGAGGCTTTGTCAGAAGAAAGGAACGATAGAGAGGAATGGGAAGAGGCTTTGTCAGAAGAAAGGAACGATAGAGAGGAATGGGAAGAGGCTTTGTCAGAAGAAAGGAACGATAGAGAGGAATGGGAAGAGGCTTTGTCAGAAGAAAGGAACGATAGAGAGGAATGGGAAGAGGCTTTGTCAGAAGAAAGGAACGATAGAGAGGAATGGGAAGAGGCTTTGTCAGAAGAAAGGAACGATAGAGAGGAATGGGAAGAGACATGAGCACAAGAAAGGAACGATAGTGAGGAATGGGAAGAGGTTTTGTCACAAGTAAGGAACGATAGAGATTAATAGTAAGAGAACCAGAAGAACGTAAGTGGTAAAAGAAGTCGATAGGTAAGAGAGTACTTACTGCGAGTAACAGCAGAAGAGAATGACAGAGAGGAGTGTTAAAAGTGATACCCGCTTCCTATCATTCAATTCTATCTTACCTCTCTTCTACAAGCCTCACTTTCAGGTCTCTATTTATCTGCAACATCGTCTGGCTTTTTTCTCTGTGATTCTTTCTTTCCTCCATACACTTTTACTACTCCTCAACCTCCCACTTCCCTCTTTAATGATTCCTCTCTATCTTTATTTTTCTTCTTCAACATTCTTTTACCATTCTCCCCTTTCCTTTCCCACGCTTCTTATCATTCCACGCTTTCCTTTCTTTCTTCTACTACCCTCACTTTATTACTCTTTATGCTTTCCTTTATTGTGCCACATCCTCTCCCCATCTCTCTCTTTTTTCATCTCTCATGCTCTTTAACCACTTCGCTTTATCTTTTTTTTTCTTTACCTAACTTCTCTTACTATTATTCTCTATATTTCCTTTCTTGTGCCACATCCAGTAACATTCCCTCTATCCTTCTTTTCTTCCGTATCTGTCTAAATTTCTTAGATGAGGTATTATGTACACTATTTACATTATTAGGACTATTGTCCACATCTTTGTCGCCATATTTACTACAATGTTTCGGCCTTTCAGTATCTGTCTATATGTCTGAGATGATGTATTATGTAAACTATTTACATTATTCGCACTATTGTCCTCATCTTTGTCGCCATATTTATTACAACGTTTCGGTCTTTCAGTATCTGTCTATATTTCTGAGATGAGGTATTATGTACACTATTTACATTATTCGGACTATTGACTTCATCTTTGTTGCCATATTTATTACAACATTTCGGCCTTTCAATATCTGTCTATATTTCTGAGATGAGGTATTATGCACACTATTTACATTATTCGGACTATTGTCCTCATCTTTGTCGCCATATTTATTACAACATTTCGGCCTTTCAGTATCTGTCTATATTTCTGAGATGAGGTATTATGTACACTATTTTCATTATTCGGACTATTGACCTCATCTTTGTTGCCATATTTATTACAACATTTCGGCCTTTCAATATCTGTCTATATTTCTGAGATGAGGTATTATGTACACTATTTACATTATTCGGACTATTGTCCTCATCTTTGTCGCCATATTTATTACAACGTTTCGGCCCTTCAATATCTGTCTATATTTCTGAGATGAGGTATTATGTACACTATTTACATTATTCGGACTATTGTCCTCATCTTTGTCACCATATTTATTACAGCGTTTCGGCCCTTCAGCATCTGTCTATATTTCTGAGATGAGGTATTATGCACACTATTTACATTATTCAGACTATTGTCCTCATCTTTTACGCCATATTTATTACAAGGTTTCGGCCCTTCAGTATCTGTCTATATTTCTGAGATGAGGTATTATGCACACTATTTATATTATTCAGACTATTGTCCTCATCTTTGTCGCCATATTTATTACAAGGTTTCGGCCCTTCAGTATCTGTCTATATTTCTGAGATGAGTTTTATGATGTATCATGTAAACTATTTACATTATTCGGACTATTGTCCTCATCTTTGTGGCCATATTTATCATAACGTTTTGGCCGTTGTACGCTCCGGCCTTATCCAAGTGGTTGGAACGTATAACTGAACCCTTTATTTCGCTCATTGGGTTAGACTGTTCTTGTTCTTGTTCCTCATGCCATGTTTGATGGATGCCAGTTATCAGTTAATTCCCCTGTCCACGTTCTACACCGCCTTAACCAGGTATTGAACTCACACTCTTTGGGTCCTGTCACTCGATCTAACTAACGCTTTTATCCACTGTGCAATGTGTCCTTAAGGAGGTATTTTGTTCTTCAATACTCATTTATCACTCCTCTATCATTTCTTCTCTTTTTCACACTCCTTTACCACTCGCCACTCTCTCTCTTTCTCTCTCTTGATACACTTTTACTATTACTCTATCCTTTCTCTCTTGTATCACATCCTCTTCAGATTCCTCTCTCTCGTTCTTTCTTTTTGTCGCTGCTCTCTCTCTCTCTCTCTCTCTCTCTATATATATATATATATATATATATATCTCCGTCTTATCATTCCTCTCTTTCTTTTCTTACTCATCACTCGTTTACCATTTTTCACTATACTTTGCCACATTTATTAGCATTGTCCTCTATCATTCCTTAATTCTGTTACTCTCTCATTACGTTATATTCTTTCCTTTCTTTTGCTTTTTACCACCCTTCTTTATCATTCTTTTCTTTTTCCGTAATCCTTTAACACACATCTCTATCCTTCTTCTTCTTCTTCTGCTATCCTTTCTTCATTTATTCTTTATCATTTATCATGTGCTAAACCGCTTCCCATTCCTCTGTACCCTTCTTTACTTCTTCCACACGTTTACCACTTCACCCTCTCTTTTTTTCTCCTACCCTCAGTTTATCATTATTTTTTTTTTATCTTTTTCTTTCTTACGCTTCGCATTCATCTCTTTTCTTTTCTCTTTTCCCACACGTTTACCAATTCACTTTCTCCTTTCTCTCCTCCCTCCGCTACTCTCAGTTTATTATTTTTTTATCTTTTACTCTCTCACTCTTCCCATTTCTCTCTATCCTTCTTTTCTTCTCCCACACTTTTTAACAACTCTTTCCTTCCTTCTACTACTCTCAGTTATTACGCTTTTCGCTATCCTTCGTTTCTTTGTGCAACCTACTCATACCCCTCCTCTATATCATTCATTTCTCCTGCTACTTATTTTATTATTATTACTCTCTTAACTCTCTTCTCCCTCTTTCGTTTCTTCTACTACGCCCTCTCTTTTTGTATTACTCGCGATCTTACCTTTTGTTGTACGACACCATGTTACCATTCCTTCTAAACTCTCCCACACTTCTCTCTTTGGTTTTTTTCCCGCGCCTTTTATTATTCATTCGTTATTGTCAATCGCTGTTTTCCTTGCCCCCGGCATTTTCCTCTTCCACGTTTTCTTACCAGCACCGTGTGATCATCACCCCGCCTCTTTCTGAAGCCTCTTGCTTATTTTCTGACACACTTTGACATTCCCTTTCTACTGCGCGTTTCTTGTGCTACATCGGTGTACCATTCCTGTCGACATTTCCAAGGATTCATTTGGAAGAAGTCCAAAAATATGAGCACCCACCAAGTGCTGTACTCACTATACAGTACCAATGAGCAACAAGACAATCTCATTAACCATTACCGCAAACTTGGGGATAGTGGGTTCGATTTTACCATCCTATTAGTTGTCTTTTACTTTCCCTTTTCTATACTCTTTCTCTCAGTCTCTCTAATACTTCCTGCTTTACCTTTATTCGCTTTTTGGAATTGTTTTTTTTCTTTCTGGTATGATCTCTTACTATACCTGTCTATAGCTTGATTTCTCTCTTTCTTCCATACCAACTTACAATTGTTGCCTGGTCTTCATTTCCTCTTTCTCTCCGCACTTCTCCTTCTCGTCTTCTCTTACTCTTACCATTGCTTTCTTCTCTCTAACTTTCTTCTTTTCCCACCTCTTCAGTCCCTTTCTTTCCATTTCTATCTGTTCTTTCACTTCTCTTTTTTCTTTTCTTTCTTCCCTTTTAATTCCTTTCCTTCTAATCCTGTTTATTATTTCTTTTTTTTTCTATTATCGCTTTCAGTCCCTCTCTTTCTATTGCTTTTTGTCTTTTCCTTTCTCTTTTTTCTGTATTCCCTTTGAGTCACTTTCTTTCCCTTCCTGTTTGTCCTTTCCTCTCTCTTTTCTATCTTCCATTTCAGTCCCTCTTTTTCCTTTGCTTTTTGTTTTTTACTCTTTTTTTCTATATTCTCTTTGAAACCATTTCTTTCTATTCCTGTTTATTTGTCCTTTGCTCTTTCTCTTTTTATCTTCTCTGTGATACCCTCTCTCCATTCCTCTTTGTATTGTACTCTCTCTCTTTTTTGTTTTCCATTTGAGTTTCTCTTTTTCCATTTCTTTTTCACCTTTCCCCTTTCTCTATCTTCTCTGCGATTCCCTCTCTTTCCATTCCTTTTTGTCCTTTCCTCTCTTTTTTCCATCTTCCCTTTTAGTCCCTCTATTTCCATTTCTGTTTTCCTTTTTGAGTCCCTCTATTCCCCATTTCCATTTCTTTTTCCTTTCTATCTCTTTTTCCATCTTCCCTTTTAGTCCCTCTATTTCCATTTCTGTTTCTCCTTTCCCTTTCTCTATCTTCTCTGCGATTCTCTCTATTTTCATTTCTATGCGTCCTTTCCACTTTTTCTTTTCTACCTTCCCATTGAATGTCTCTTTTTCCATTCCTGTTTATCATCTCTCTCTCTCTTTCTCTCTCTCTCTCTCTCTCTACTACAATATCCTTTTATTCCTTTCTATTCTTGTTTGGCTCTTTTTCTTGAATTATTCATTGTTTAATAAATCGACATTTTTACAAAGCATCCTCCCATTTTACCAGCGTTTTCCCTCCATCTTTCTTGCCTTCTTCAAGGGCTGAATCACGCATGCGTAAACATGTCTACCGTCATCTCAATCAGTAACCTACAGGAAGATCAACAATCTTCTTCATTTCCTGTGATATTTGCAATAACAGACAACATGCCCGGAGCAGTGCGAGAAGAGGAGAGACAGAGGGATCGTAGTGACGGCATATCTTGCTAGGAGGTGAAGGCTGCAAGTTATCAGAATGAAAATTACAGCAATCGTTTTATGGTCGTTCGCATTTTCCCCGTGTATAAAGCTCACTTTCTGGCCTCTTATAAACCGAACGTAATAAGTCCAAGATATTTCTCGTCAGTCGAATTTTTCTCATTTCCAAAGTGTGGCAATAATGATTCGCTTTCTTTCTGCGACATACTGCTGTATAAGTAATTTTTAATAAATAATATCGGGATTTTTTTCCTAAACAGGGCCATGGAAAAAATAAGAGAGACTCGTCCACCAAAAAATAAAGTAGATGGAATCTGGATCTGGATTTGGATTGGCTTGTATTCTTGTTTAATAATGTAGCAGAAGGTTCATACCAGAAGACACCAGATGGCTTGAATCGAATTTAATGCACTCGAAAAATAAGATTATTATTTAGGGAGGCACGGTGGAGTAATGATATGAATAGCGGCTCGAATTGAGGAATCGGAGAGCCGAGTTCGAATTCCAGTCGAATCCTTATATTCATATACGTTGTAATACCCTTGGGAAAGGCACTAATACACTTTTTCTCCTCCCAACATTATGGGCAAATAGCAGGACAGACTGTGTTCTATAGCCTTGGATGTCAACTTGTCTACCGCAGAAAGAAATGGCTGTTGATCATGTTTGCCGTAGTCTCTGAATATGGAATCCAGTGAAGTCCGTAATGTCTTCAATATCAGAGGTTGGCAGTGAAGATTCGGAGAAAGTAGCGGCTGTTAATTCTTTAAGTCTTTGATGTCAGGTTGGCAGTGAAGATATTTTTGGGAAAAAAAAAAATGGCTGCCTTTATACACGTCGGATTGAATATTTTGAGCTTTCTGATTGGTTAACCCTTCTCTTGGTGGACTATAAAATGAGTCAGCTCATTTTCGCTAGCTTACTAGTACTAAAAGGTACCCAACAATTCCAACAATGGCAACCTGCAGCGGAAAAAAATCGTCTGCATCGAAAATCATCGCTCTGGCGTATCTCGAATGTAAACCTAATGACGTCACATGTTCAGGTTCAACTGGTCAAAGATTCCGATCAAATTTATTTTTATGACATTTTTGTTTGTGTTTATATGTGCCAATTTTATAGAAAATCAACATGCAGTTACGAATGGCCAGAGATTAGAATGTTAGATTCTGAATTTAGATTCAGGTTCGAATCTCAAATAGCCCTTTTCTACCATAAGATAACATCGGTGGCCGAGGGGTTACAATGGCATGTCATTAGGTGTCTGAAAATCGTTCATATTTTAAAATCCTGCAAAATGAACAAAAATTTTCTATGAAATCGTTTCGATCGGACATTTTCAGGCTATTGACCTTCTTCAAACTGTTGATCTCGGCAGATTACTGTTTATCTCTCAGAAACTAACTAAGGTCATTAAGTTGAGTAATAGTATATTTGTAATCAAGTATCAATAAAAAAACAAAACGTCTGATGATAAATAAAAATGAGTAGACTTTATTACAAACAAACACACGGACCTTGTCATATATATATATATATATATATATATATATATATATATATATATATATGTATAACTGCAAAATTGTACAAATCGTGTAACAGCATAATTGTCCATCCCACAAAATGTTTAATATCTATAAAACCACTAAACTAATTGGGATTTATTTTCCCCAAGTTTTCAGATAAGATATTTAGCCATCTTGACACCATTTATCGTAAGAATCACTGAACGACCCTTTAGATTATTCAGCTAGAAAGAGAACAGGTGAAAATCATTTTATGTCAGCCCAACTATATCTTCCCAACTGAGCAATGGTAGAAGGAAAATGATCATTCATGACAACATTAACGGTACCAAACATTCATAATCTGGCTCCCATCTTCAAAGTCCTTTCAAGAACTAATGAAAAAACGATGAATAATTTTTAAAAAAGAGGGAACAGTACAGAGAAAAACTGGATCAGGAGGTCACAGCAGGATGAGGGGAAATCATTTCAACTCGATCCATAAGATTGACACGTGAGAGAAGAGTTTCCCCTCCGACAGTTCAAAAAGCAGTGAAAAAAAGACTTCAGAATGAAATCAAACGTTAAACATGTGAGGCATCTTTTTACTCCAGAACAGAAGGTTAGAAGGTTAGAGAGAGCGAAGATCATCTTAAATAAATTTGGAAATGATCTTGGAATATATATATATATATATATATATATATATATATATATATATAGTGTTTCCCGTGTATGTATTGAAAATAAGGACAGACACATACGTAGGGGAAAATACTGGTATAATCGAAGAAGTATTTACAACAGAGAGATTAGTAGTCAAACGAACGCAGGTTAGTCAGGAACAATCAGAAAGAGTATAAAGTCCAACTATATCTTCCGGTAGAGAGACGGAAGTGTGATGGTCACCTGATCTCCCAGAACTCTATAGAACTGTCCTATTAGTAGTAGAGAGATCAGTCCATTCTGATGAGAAGGTGGGTGCGCCCCAACAATTATTTACATTGTTCAAACTTGTCCTCATCTTTATTGGTATATTAACGACATTTTGGCCGTTGTACGCCCCGGCCTTCTTCAGGTGACATATGTTGAAATTTTGAAGGCATGGCACGTTGAATTGTAACAATCTAACACCGTGTACTAAATAAAGGATTCGTTTCAAAATTCAAGGTATATCACCAATAAAGATTAGGAATATATATATATATATATATATATATATATATATATATATATGTGTGTGTGTGTGTGTGTGTGTGTGTGTTATTGGACTGGAGGGTCGATCACAGCACAGGTTGACGCAAGCCTTGTGAGTGAAATTGGGTAGACAGAACCCTTGGGAGCCGTCGACGATAGCTGTGCTAGCACGAAGTCACAAGTTATCGTGGCCGAGAGCGTGAGCGTGCTGGCATTGTTCAAATTGTTGATCACGCAAGATAACACGCTCTCTCCCCAAAACTGTAACTAAGGTCTGCTCAGTATATTTTCAATATAAGCCACAGTTGGGCTATGTTCACGTTGAAAAAAAACACAAATGCGCCTGAGAAAGCGTGTGCAATAGGGATTGGCTAGAATCCTCGAATAGGAATGCCCAGCTATTTATATATATATATATATATATATATATATA